ATTACTTCTAATTCCTAACGAAAGTTTTAACCCTATTCTATGCATTTTAAAAACCAGCCTGCTCTCTCTCTCTCTCTCTTTCTCTCTTTCTGTCTTGACTTGGTATCGAGATATCGATACTTCTCGAGACTTCAAGCTTCAAGTTCAAATCAATTTAAATCTTGATTCGATTTCGAACTTGCAATTGCACGTGCATGAAATTAATAATTATTCAAATTTGATTTAGACGCATGAGATAAAATTTATCGCCAAAAAATATCTCGTCTTTAAATTTCATCGCGACGAATTTTGAGAGACGGCTTTGTTGGGATAACAATACTTCAAATTCCAAATCCAAATAAATTCAAAATTTGATTTTGAGATAAAAATTTGCCGAGAAATATTGCACCTTTATTGATAGACATTTTAATTCTTATCGCGATTTAAAAAATCGGTTTGTTATGCTATACGTTGCCATGGTTGAATTGATCGTGATATTATTTTATTGTTGCTTCAGTCTATCGTCGCTACTTTGCGCTGAAACTTGTAGGTGTCACACAAGTTAATACACTAATTGATATTTTAGGATGATTCGATAAACAATGGCAATTTGAATCAAGTTAACTTGATTAGTGAGTCTTAAAATCAATCGATTAATTCGCGATGACATTGGCATTGTCGAGGATAGACTATACGACGGTGGGAGTCACCTCACGTGGCACAACCATCATATTTCCGCCTTATGAAGGGACGACGAAGCAACCACAAAAGTTCGCTATTGCAGATCACGACGGCGTGCTGCATATTTATGGTATAAATGTGCATATCTTATTACAATACAAAATATCTTAACAAATAAATAGTAATAAATAAGTAATTAATTGATAATAAGTAATTAATATTATTTAATAATATTAATTCTTAATTCATATTAATTAATAACTAAATAATATTATTCTAATAAGACAATATTGCAATTAATGTCAAGAGATGCTTTAATATCGTAATTATCTTCAAAATTTTGATATTAATGTTGAAATAAATATTATAAGACAAATATTATAAAATCTAAATTTAAGAAATATATAAAATCATCCTTCCTTGAACAGGCATGAAAAAGGGTGAATTGCAATTATCATTTAAATCCTTGCCCGGCCCAAAAATTCAGAAAATGGTTCTTGGTGGCTCAATAGGTATGTTGAGGGATAAAATTTTCCTTGCGTATGGCAGTTCCGTGAAGGGATATACGAAAAAGGGCAAGCTGTTCTTAGAGTTCGATACTAGTCTTATAGATCCGATTTCTGCGATGTAAGTTCACAGTACATTCAGCTCAACTCCACGATGATACTTTCGATATAGTCCACAATCCCGTTATCATATTATTATGAAATGTCCTTCATAGGTACGTCCTTGGTCCTGATCTTGCGGCGTGCGCGCGTGATCTTTATCATCGGTACAGAGACTGCAAAGATGCCGATTCATATCTGACTGGAGAGACCTTGCACGATGTTGTGCTCTTACCTGGAGACGGCAACGTAGTATACGCTATTCTAGCTTGTGCGGATTGCGCAGTAAGACGTCAATTTCATTGAATATGATTCGAAAATCCGTCTCAAGTCTTTTAAACTTCAATCGAGAAATGCAATAATTTTAGTTAAAAAAAATTGTTAGTTAAAAAAAATTGTACTTTCACAAAAAAAATCGTTGATTACTTCATTCCATTTCTTAAAAGTTAATACTTTTGCGATTTTTCCTAAAATATCCTTTTATTCTTGTAAAGTTTCTGCGATGGATTTAAATCTTAATTTTCTTCTTAGTTCTAAAAACTTACAGAGAAATTCGAATATAGAGTTATTTTCTAGGAATGCATAATTAATTCATCGATGTAATTTTACTTTCTAGGTACGTGTTTTGCACGGTACAAGAAATCCAACAGTTTTAAGATTGCCGAGCGCTCCTACGGTGCTTTCCATATATAGGTATTATTGATATTTCACATACAGCACACACACATTTCAAGTGAATTATTTTATATTCTTATCTCGTTTCAGAGAGGGAGAAATATACTCGAAAGACCGCGTTTTGGTCGGTACCGCGGATGGTAGAGTCGGACTGCTGATCCTCCAAGGCAACAAAACTCTCCGAATTACCTGGCTGTTAACTTCGACAGGCTCAGGAATCACTTCGTTGGATACATACGAGTTACAAGACGGTATAGACATCCTTGTTGGTCGGCAGGATGGAATCGTCGAGGTATATACGTTTCCTGACGAAGATGTATCGTCCATTCTGCGCTATCATTATGTAAGTGATTGTGATCTATAGTCTCATCGAATTGGATATTAGTTAAGAAATAAATCATTGTAGAATGCTGGCGAGAGTATTAGTACAGTCATCGGTGGGATAATCGGCGTCACCAATTATCCTGAGGTTCTCGTCACGACTTACTCAGGACGAGTATTCGGATTGACTACTAGTCCTCCTGGTTTACTAGAAGCGGGACAAAGCGATATTGGATTGGCCAGATTGAAGCTGGAAATACATCAATTGCAAGAGAAACTGAATGAGGAGAAAGATTCGGCCAATTTCGTGCCGGATCCTTTAGCACCCTTGATATTAGCAGTGAATCATAAGTAACCGCAACAAAATTATTTATACAATATAAATACAAAACAGATTAATCAGAATAAACTGAAATTGTAATAAAAATCAATTCACAGGATGGAATTACACAAAGAAGATGCTTCTTATTCCCTATCAGTAGAATTAGACGCGTCGATTGACAATATTCTAATACAATCCGATACGCCCATCGATCTGCTAGAGACAGAGAACAACAGCGCAGTGGTCAGCTTATCCGCTTGCAATCCTATAGAGGGCAATTTCCTCCTTGCTACTTATCGATGCCAAGTAAATGCAATTTTCTGTATATGTAAAACAATATAATCTTTTTAAATTTTAATATCTCTGAAAGTATGAAAAATCATTTGTAAATAGATTAATACAAATCGTCTAGAAATGCGACTAAGATCCATCGAGGGTCAACCAGGTACTTTGCAGATCTATGTAACGTCCCAGGTATTTTTTTTTTGTTATCATTCAAATCCAAGATTCACATTATTAATATCTATGATAATTCTCAGGTGCAACCGAAACGTTGCCGTAAAATTACAGTTCCTATTCACGCTTTATCTCTGCATGTCAGACTGCATGAAGACGATAACATCACATCCAATGGTCCGTTTAATGAATTGAAACTAAATGGCCAATTCACCATTGCCGAAGTATGTTTCTTTATTTTGTTAATTTTATTGTGAGAGAAAACAATTGTTTATGAATTTCTTTTTCAGATGCACGCGTGGCTATCCTTAGTGTTACCAGACGTGCCCGAGAGACCTCATATTAACGAAGGTGAAGCTGTTTTAGTATATATCTCGTCCTTCATCGGCACAATTCTCAAATGCAAATATAAGTAAGTTTATAATATAAAATCGCAGCCTTGCATTCGTCATTAATCTTTTGGTAAACTACAGAAAAGGGAGTGCGCTTTTTCTTGGCGAGAATATATCCACTATCATAATTCTTAGAGATATCTTGACGAAGGAGGCGACGAAACGAAAGCTAAAACTAGACGTCTTCTGCGGTAATTATTGGCGATTGTTGCATATTTCTCTTCGAAGTTGTAAAATGATCGTAAACATAAATCTTTACATAGAGGTAGCAGAAGGAAGCATATCTAGAGTCTTGGAGTTAATTCTTCCGCGTTTGAATGCGGCCTACGATTTAATCCAAAAAATAAAAATTCTGAATGCTCTCGAAGAGTGGGAGCTCCAGTCCAATCCGAGAGAGAATTTATGCTCTGAATATCAAGAGTTGTTGGAAAAGGAGACGGAGATTAGATCGCTTATGGTAAAAGATACTGAAATCCTGAACAGGCTGCACGCTATCATTACCGATTTATATGTAGATTGGGAACGAGCGAAGCGATCTCGAAGGTAAAAATAAGATTCTTATCAGCGTGACCCAATTCTAACAATACTATTCATGTAACAGAATCAGTGGTAAGGAGGCTACAGCGAAGCTCCAAGATGCCCTCGAATCTAAAGACTTAGCTACCATCTTACAAATTTTCATTGGTAAAGTCGACGTGAGTGTGCCGACTCTAATACCCGCAGCTATTTAGATGTTCGGAGATTGCGAATGAATTGGACCAATGCATTTCTATAAACAC